GTTCTTCACACTCCCGAGGTTAAATGTGCTTAATATCCGCAAGAATCCACCATGTTGTTAGCCCATGAAATGGGACGTTGCGGATCGGCGGTAGATCGGTTTTGGCGTTAACTTTCCACTGGTGAACATACAAAAAGCTATTGAAAATGGTGATTTATATAGTGGATTTACCTATTAAACATGGTGGATCTTTCCCACTGGTTAGCAGGTTGTGTGGGTACCTGCGGAGGTTGATTTGCCAGATCCAGTTGAGCTGCATCGCGGCAATACGACGCTTGGTCCAACATTTTGGGCGCTCCAAACCACGGGGCAACGATGAAAAGAACAGAACCCACGGGGGATTTTTGTTTGGACCGAAAAGATCAAATTCAGCCGCAGGAGCAGGTAAAACAGGTTTTTAATTCTTCCAAGATGAGGATTTACACGGATTTCACCAATAAAAGTGGTGGTTTGCGTTCTATTCAGCAACTTGGGTCCTTTGGGCCCTTGACTTCCGATGCTGGGAAAGCTGGGCAAGCCAACAGCAAGTTTGTGTGGATTATCGTGAGTCCATGAGTAGATCGCCATTTCAATCTTTTGACACGGCTGAATTGATGATCTACGGTATGCCCGGTATGCAACATATGAGGACCATGATTTTTTTTGACTTGGCACTGACTACGAAATTTGACCTGATTGCGGTGATTTGCCAATTTCATCTTACTGGTGCTAAACGCAGGGAATTTTTGGGAATGATCCATTTCATCACTAGTAATGTCATCATCCCAGCAACCCCCAGCAACCCATCCATTCCCTACGTTTAGCATCAGTGAGTCATACAATTTCAACGATTCAAACCCGGCTTTGTCACACATCTCAACGTTGCTAAGTCACGTGAGTATCCCGTCCTGCCATGGCGAGGTTTGCGGCGGCCTTTTGGCCCGCCAGCCTCAAGGCCCTTTCGAGCTGAATTTGACCCGAAAAATGTTTGCGAATTTCAGACAAAGCCATATATACCATTATATACCCATATCCCAAAGGTTCCAAAAGTCGATTTTTCAACGTTTGAGGCTTTCGAAGCAAATATCCCAAAGATTCTCCAAAGGTCATTTTTTTTCCAGTCAACGTCACCGTGGAGGCTCCTATGGTCACGGCGCAGGCACCGCACAGAGCTGTCAACGTAGGAGTAATAAACCATGGTTGCTAGCGGTACTAATTACAGGGTGACTGTAAGATTTGTTTTGGCCTTTTACTAAACGTGTCGATGTTTACTTGAGTTTGCTTGATCACTATTATTTGGTGAGATTGGAATCCAAACCACAGTAGACTTTTAGCTGCAAGTTTGTACAGCTTCGCTATCCCCGCCGCTCGTGGCTCAAGTCACCAACAGGTGGCTCAAGACGCCACTCGCCCGTCCGAGACATAAAAGAAAGCTCTGCGTGCTTGCATGGTTCTTCTCCATTGAGGGCTTCATCTGAGACATCAACTATTACACGTTCACCGACTAGGACGAGGTGATTCACAGGTTATCAGCCGTACGCTCATCACTGGGCGTACGGTGGTTCCACATTATCCTCAGCCCCTTCGGCATCCTGGTCCTCCTGCCCTACTACAAGACATAAGCTTGGAGCAAACGGAGGTGGACTGACAACAAGAAGATGTCGCAGAAGAACCAGTCGAGCAGCAACGACACAAGCTTTTCCTTCGGAGCGAATGCTGCTCCGGCCCAGGCAATCAATGACACGCCTGGATCTCAGGAGAGCGGTGGCGGCGGCACGATGTCCTACCGTGCTGCTGGAAGTATAGCATCAACAAGCAGCTTCACAGTGGTCAATCAAGCTGACGTGGCTCGAGGAGGAAGTGCCAGAAGATCAACATCGGCAAGACCACCTCGCGCTGCAAGATCTCGCATTGCGGAAGACGGTGGTGGCCGAGGCCCGTCGGGCGCGGCCACGCGGGAGGATGAGGCAGGTAAATCTACCACCTCATCCAAACGCAAGTCGTCGACCAGCGCTACGAGGAATGAGAGCGAGGCACGTCTTCGACGTCAACTACAGCACAATACCGAGAAGCTGGAGAGGAGCGAACGGGCAAGGACTGAACTGGAAAACAGACTAAGTCTTTATCAAGATGTTCTTGCACATCGTGATCAGATGATTAACAACATGGAGATCTATTCACATCAACATCATGAAGAATATCAAGAACATGTCAACTCCGAGATGGAATTCATGAGAGTTTCCCTCATCGATGCACAACATGTACTCGAAGAGCAGTCGATCGCACTGGCTGAGGCGCATCTCCTGGACGAAGGTTCAACAATGAGGATCATCGAGCTGGAGAAGCGTGGTCAACTCGCTGAAGCAGGTGCGGCACACATTGTTCGGGAAAGTATGGAGATGAGGGGAAAGTATCTCACTGAACTAGAGAACGCATCACAACTCATTCGTCAACAACATGAAACATCCGAAGCTATGACTGTTCACTTTCGTCAAGATGGGCTACAACTGCGTGAAGCATGTACACAGTATGTCCAAGACAGGGAGAATGTGATCAAGGAAGAAATGGAACAGTTGAAACTGAAACTATCAGAGCAATCACTTGTGATGGCTGACAACAATGAGATGATCATGGAATATGGCCAACAAGCTGTTGCAGTACGTGATGAACAACTGGTAGAGATGCAATCAACTATTGACGAACTGACTGCCAGTTTGTCGCACAAGGACAACCTCATTGCTATCAGGGATGATGCGAATCGTGATCACATTGTGAAGGTTCGCGACATGAGGAACATGATTCAGGAAAGAGAGGAAGAGTATAACCGGAAGCACAACGAGCTCGAGGTGGAGATCAGAAGCCTCATGAGACTGAATGAGAACGAGAGTGCTACAAGGGAATGGTACACAAATCGGTTCATTGATGAGAAGAACGAGTTCCGCCAGTTCAAACATGACGAACTCAGTGCATTCAAGGACAGGGAGATCACCATCGAGCGCGTCAAGGACGAACTCATGGATGAGAACATGGCTTTGATTGAGTCCACCAACCAGTTGAGAACACGAGTTGCTGAACTTCTTGGATCTCGATTTCATGCTGGTGGCGATGAAGACAATGCCAAGGTGAATGAAGAACTGCGTGAAGAACTTCACAAAGCCAACATGGAGATTAGTCGACTTCAAGAAGCAGTCGAAAGCAACCCGAAACTCACTGAGGCACTCATCGACGCCGAAGAAGCGGAGGCAGACAGGTACAAGAAGCTCTATCAGTCGGCATGCTCTGAACGTGACCACGTGATCAGAAAGAATGATTCATTGAAACAATCACTTCATGATGCGAGACTGACAATGAACACAATGCCGGCATCATGGAGCAGAGTATCGACTAGAGCTACATTACCAGCTGCACCTTCAGCTGTGCCTCCTACGACCCTAGTTCCGAGGACGACTGCGCTTACTGGCAAAACTCCATCATTTGCAGTATCGATTTCGACGCCTATGGGTACTCCTAAAGCATCCTCTACGACCAAGAATCATGATCCTGCTCTACCTCTACCACCATCACCTAGCATGAGCAATGCCATCAAGAACCAGACCAACAGTGAGATCGATGAACTTCGTGAGAAACTTCGTCGGTCTGAAGAACAAGCTCAACAGAACTATGACGAGATGAAAGAGTACCAAAGTTGGCTGGAACAAGCTGAAGAAGGGCAAGAATCTCTGAAAGACAACAAAACCCCTGAATTTGAACCCGTTCCTGACAATCCTCCTGGACTTTGGGAACGGAAGGATGGCAAAGATGCTAGTGTTGCAAACAGTGATGCTGGTCAAGATGGCAAAGATTGGGTAACCAGAATTTCCAGGAAGGAGCACGAGAAGGTCACTGTCAAACCATGGCCAAAATGTCAAGATCTTGATGTTTGGCGCTCCAACGTCGTGCAGGCCGTATGTGTTGCATCAGGTGATCCAGACACGGCTGCATGGAGAAGATGGCTATCTCCTGCTCTATTACCCAGTCCTGACTATGCCGAACTTGCTGATTCAGGAGAATTCCGTTTCCAGTCCATCGACTCCAAGTTGTCCATTGCCTTGCAGAACATGGTAGACTCCGCTGGCGAGACAGCATCGGAGGTCAAGGTTCGGATTAGACAGAGGAGTCAAGTTCTGGGAAAAGAAGGAAATTTCCTGATGGGCAGGGAGATTTTGGCAATGGTTCTAGATCATTTCAGAACAGCATCAAAAGATGAAGTATTATTCAATGCCAGCCACATCTACAAGTTACAGTATCGTGGTGACAAAGAGATGGATAAGTTCCTCCATGCTTGGATTGAAATCATCGCCAACATGAAGGCTGAGGACATTCCATCTGACAATACACTGCGTGATCATCTGCTGAGGAAGATTGACGGTTCCCAGGCGTTGCACGTTGACCTCACGATCTTCAAAGGTAGGGACAATGATGACAAGAAGAAATCATATGATGAACTCTTGGAGATAATGAGGAGGCACATAGCACGTGCACGCGAAGATCGCAATATCGCGGCCAGGGACAAGTTCGCCACGGACTACACCAATCTTGGTAAGCCTTCTACCCCAGCTCCGAAGCCGACGGCTCCGGCTCCTACGCCGAAAGATGGAAAGGGTGGAAAACCGAGTGCTCCAGCACCCAAAGGCAAACCTGGAGCTCCTGTTCTACCTTCCGGCAATCCCAAGAGCCATGGCAAGGGGAAAGGCAAGGGTGGCAAACGATCAAGATCACCTTCCATACGAGATACTTCGAAGATCTTTTGTCACTTCCACTTCAACAAGGGCAATTGCAAGCATGGTGACAAATGCCAATACAGTCACTCCCAATATCATTGGGACAAGAGGAAGGACAAAGGTGGCAAAGGCAAGAACAGCAGATCGGCTACTCCAAGAAGATCACAGACCCCTGGTGGAAAGAAGGATCGACATTGCTATGGTTGGTTAAAGGGCGATTGTCAGAAAGGTGACAAGTGTACCTTCAAACATGACCCAAGCATGAAAGGCAAGAGAGCGGCGCCTTCTACAAAGACGCCAGACGCCAAAGCTACTCCGGCTTTAGTCCGTGAGTACGATGACGATTTCATCGTGAACGCAGTGCCCATCGAAAAGAAGAACAAGATGGATGTCAAGTTCAATGACAAGGTGGAAACCATCATGTATGTGAAGCCTGATTTTGTGGAGTGTTCCAACAGGAAGCCAAAGAGAAACATGTCCAGAGCTCAGAAGAAGTCATTGACGTGCAGAACTACCAGAGACATCATGGATGACCAACAATGGGTATTACAATCCAAGTTGGGAATGACGAGAGCACGTGCAATTGGCATATTGATGGACGACTATGATGAGTTTTCCGATGTTGATGAAGTACACATCATCCTGGGACCCAAGAATGATATTAAGCTCAAGATCAACAATATTGATTTCTTGGAGAACAACTCACGAGCAGAGATATGCTATGTGGAAGTGATTCCTCATGTTCCAGGACAATATGGTCGTCGTGACAACGTCATGTGCATCACTATGCCAATCGAGCTCAAGGACCGACGTTTCATCATGGACTCTGGCAGTGGTCACGATCTTATCTCATCTACGAGAGTGGATAGGATGGACATTGACACCTACCAGAGTGATCGAGTTAATTTCCACACTGCAAATGGCATCACATCAACAACCACGATGGTGGATCTGGACTTCGACACGTTCAATGATCCTGCAAGGGCTCATGTGTTGGAAGATACCCCATCAGTTTTGTCATTGGGAAAACGATGCATGGAGCAAGGCTATACGTTTGTATGGCCTAGCGGTAGAGAACCCTACATGATCAACTCCGAGGGTGGCAAGATCAAGATGGAAGTTCATGATCTCATCCCATATGTCTACCTTGGAGCCAAGGACTACAGGCCATCGTCAGACTACCAGGCCGAGTTAGTGATGAAAGTGTTGGGTCTCAACGGCAACAACCATGCATCAAGGACAATCTATCTTGATGGTGAAAGCGGTGATGAAATGTCCGAATCAGATGATGGAGTTGGTACGTACGTCGACGATCCAACAAAGTCTCTGAGGAAGACGAAGAAGAAGAAGCGTTCCAAACGAAAGACGACTCCGGTAGCAGCTGGTGAAGAACTCGATGATGATGATGACTATGAACAGTCCATCCGCGAGGGAGATCCAGATGATGATGAAGTACATGTCGATGAAGTTCCTGGTGCGGATGAAGATAAAGAAGATGATGACGATCGAGTACCAGCAGCTGATGATGCTCCAGAAGTCGATCAATCCGATGAAGATGGAATTGGTGTTGAACATGGACCACCTGAAGAAGAAGATGATGAGGATGATATCGATGTTGATGATCCTGATGGAGGAGTACGTCTGTCAAAGAGAGGTACGTTGAAACATGAAGCTCGTACTCTTGAACATCTTCTGACACATCGATACAAGAACCCATACTGCAATTCTTGCGTTAGGGCCAAGATGAAGCATCACAAGACCTACCGTGGTGCATTCCGCCGAAAACTTACAAAGTTCGGCGACCTCATCACCTTCGACTTCATGGATACTCGCAAGACGACCAAGTTGGGCTACGACACGGTCAAAGAGATTCTTGTCATTCGAGACAGGTATACCGGCATCATTCAGAGTTACCCTTCTCCAACCAAGAACACTGAAGATGTTGTGAGAGCGGTCAAGTACTTTATGGGAAGACGAACAATCAGGGAAGCTTACTCCGACAAAGCCAGACAGTTTGTCAAGGGCATGGAGGCTCTCAAGATTCCCTTTGATCATGCTCTGCCGGGAAGACCTTCAACGAATTCTCTTGCCGAGCGCAACAACCAGTTCGTCATTGCAACTACCACCACATGCTTACTCGAGGCTGGACTACCAGCATGTTTCTGGAAGTTCGCCATACGATGTGTATGTCACCTACTCAATGTGGAACCTGGTGAAGATGATGTGAGTGCTTGGTGTAAACTCCATGGCGCCGAGTTCAAGGGCAACAAGATCCCATTTGGTGCATTGGTTTACTTCAAACCAAGTGGAGCCAGAGCCAATGAACAAGCTCACAAGTTTGATCCCAAAGGTATCCCTGGTATCTTTGCTGGCTATGAAATAGCTCCAGGCGTCAATTGGCGAAGGCAGTATATGGCATGGGCGTTGTCTGACATGACGAAGCAGAACTACTCGTTCAATGCTAAGACAATCATAGACAAGTTACGCCATCCACATCTCACCGAGAAGATTGAAGTGCACTTGCCATTGACGTTCCCATGCAAGGACTTCTATGAGAAGGTGAACACCACATTGGAAGGGTTAGCAGTGAAAGATCGTCTTGAAGGATCGCCAGATTTTCTTGAAGATCAGCAAGACGATGATGATGATGATGGAGACGACGATGATGAGGGCGATGGTGATGACAAACCCGAGAAGAACAAGATCACCAATCGAGTTGAACATCAGGAAGAAGAGTTTCATCGCATGATGGAGGAAATGGACATCAAACTCGACAAAGAGAAAGCTGACGATGTAGAAGTCGTTGATGGTCCTCCTCTACCTCCTCCTGATGGTGAACCTCCTTATGATGGGCCTGAACATCACTCTATGGGCAAACCTGGTGACGGCATCATCTACCTCAGCGACATTGGCGAGCACGTCAAGCTCGACAAACGTGGACGACCTTATCGTGTTGGTCCAGATGGTCGCAAAGAAGTACGAGGGTCACCAAGGCCAAAGAGCAGTTACAGTCCTGAAGAATGGAGAGCACTATCTACTAAGGAGAGAGACGTCATCATTCGTCGTGGTAAACTTGAAGAAGAAGCTGAGAAGCTCAAGGAGATCAAGTTGAAGAAGGAGAAAGAAAAGAAGGCCAAAGCCGAAATCTCCGAGAAGAAGAAATATGATTCAAGTTCCTCCAAAGATCCAGCCAAAGATGAAAGCCGAAAGAAGAAGAAAAAGGATAATAAGAAGTCAAAGGAGAGCTCAGGCAAAGATGGTGGAAAGGACGCTGCTGTCAATGTGGGGACGCTCCGAGGAGATTGGGAACGTATATCTACGCCCCATGATCCGATGACGAGACCGATCCACAACCGAGGTCGCAACCCATGGGAACGTTCGTCGACGTCCCATGGAGCGAGTGATCTCGATGACATCAAGAAGCGTGACGCCACATCACCATCAGCACCAAGTGAAACGAGTACAAACGTCCCAAGTGATGATGATGGTCAAGAGTTCTTGAATGAATGGGACGAATGGTCCGAACATGAAGTTGGAATTGGACCAAGAGCTCAATGGAAAGATGTTCACTATGACTTCAATACCGGGAAAGTCACAGCACCTGCTCATGTTGCACCAGCGACTCCTACCTCAAAAGACTCCGACGGCAAGTCCAAGGTCAACCACTTCGTGAGTTCAATTCCTTGTATGCCTTGTGTTCATCAAGACCTTGAACATCGTGAGAAGTTCGGTCAAACTGATGTGAGGTTTGGGAAGTTGTTCAATGCGATGGTCTCACGTCCTGTTGGTCGTAAAGAGATGATGGAAGACCCGGACGCCAAGGCTTCTATGAGGAATGAGTGGTTGGGTCAACACAAGCAGGGAGTGTATGACTTCTCCGTTATTCGTGAATACGATGATGTTGTTGCAGAGGCAAAACGTGAGAAGAAAGAAGTCCACATGGCACGAGTTCACGGCATTTGTGTCGAGAAGAACTACCAGTTACCAAAGGGGAGCCCTGGACGCAAGTTCAAAGGAAGAGGCGTCTTGCTTGGCAATCAAGTTAAGAATCAACACTGGGAAGCCGCGTTCTTTCAGGACCTCGGCAATTCCCCAGCGACATTTGAAGCCTCCCGATGGGCAGATTTCTATGGTTGCATCCCCGGTCACAATGTGAAGTTAGCAGATGCTATACAAGCTTATATCCAAGCGAGGCTTACGGGACCTCCTTGTTGGGTCGAACTCCCTGAAGATGCATGGCCGGACGACGTTGACATCCGGAAGTTCAGGAGACCGGTAGTGCGACTTGTCAAAGCACTTTATGGTCACCCTGATGCGGGCACAATGTGGGAACAACATTGTGACAAACATGTCCGTGAAGTTGGTTTTATGCCAGTAGGGGAGGAATGGCCATCAATGTACTTCCATAAGGAACTCAAACTTTTGTTAGTCATCTATGTGGATGATCTAAAGTTAGCTGGACCAGCGCAGAACCTCACCAAAGGTTGGGAAATGTTAAGGTCTAAGCTGCGCATTGAACCAGAAACTGATCTGGGTCTTTATCTTGGTTGTTTGCTAAGCAAAGGAACCAATCGCCTTTATGATGGCGCAGAGGTCACAACTATGACCTACAATATGGAGGGTCTTTTAAAGCTCTCTGTTGAAAGGTATCTTGAACTTGTTGGGAAGGATACCAAATTAAAACAGGTCTCAACGCCTAGTCTCCCCGAAGAGACAAAACAACATAAGTCTCGAGCACCAGCACCTGGGGACCCTAAGCATGCAGTTCAATGTCCTTGGTGTTCAACAAAATTTGATCCTGGATCGCCGGTTGCCTTACAGCCCGGTGCCTCCGATTCTCGGCCGGAATCTGTTGAAGTCCAACGAGGTGCACTTGCCCCTCATGCTGCTAGCATCTTGATGAAGCTTCTATATGCAGCAAGGATCGCCCGATTTGATTTGTTGAGATCGATCAACACATTAGCACGCAATGTGACAAAATGGTCCATACAAGATGATGCAAAACTATACCATCTTATGTGCTATGTAAACTCTACCTTAGGGAAGAGAATGATTGGATGGGTCGGCAATGACATGAAAGATCTATCCATTGCGTTGTATGCAGATGCTGACTTTGCGGGATGTGCACAATCTTTGAGGTCCACATCAGGTTCTCATATGCATATTCAGGGGAAACGTACTCGGTTTCCGTTAGCTGGTGGAAGCAAACGCCAGGGGTGTGTGAGCCACTCTACACCTGAAGCTGAGATCGTAGCCGCTGATGTAACCCTTCGAACAATGGGTCTTCCTGCACTCAGTATTTGGGAAACGCTTACAGAATCTTCTCCCAAGCTGTTGTTTCATGATGACAACCAAGGGATGATTGGTGTGGTTCGTTCTGGAAGAAACCCAACAATGCGGCATTTGGAAAGGACTCATGGAATTGCTATTACGTCGTTACATGAACATTTCAACAAAGATCACTTTGTTCTCATGTATGAGATCACAGCGAAGATGGCCACGGACATCCACACAAAAGGTTTTACAAACCCACTTGCCTGGAAAAAGGCATGCATGTTGATCAATCTTTTGGAACCCGAAGACCTTGGTTCGAAGCAATTGGCAGACCTAGTGCAGCCCACCACGGATGTTGACACTACAGTTCGTCAAGTTTTTCAGTCAAGGACAGATGAGGTTCCCAATTTTCCATACACTGAAACACCCATACTGCCACCTGAGGTGTACCGTAAGGGTCTTTCAAGTCGAGAAAAGCTTCAAGAACTACCTGGTATGGATCCTATCTTTGTGGTCAAAACCCCTACATTGTTCAGAACAAGACCAGCTGGTGTCAAACTTCCTGCAGATTGCCTTCGGAGCACCTGGATCTTAGTCCACGGGAAGTGGGAAAGAGTTGAGGATCGCGTTCCACCATTGTTACAACAATCACGTTTTTGACAAATGGATTTCAGCAAAATTGTGCACATAGAGGCAGACTCAGAGACGAGACAGTTCCAATGTGGCATCTATGCCTCCAATGAGCACGTAGTTATTCATGAGTCGGCATTTTTGGAAACACGCAAGTGCAAACGATGCCAGAGGGCCCTAGGTGAGGCCTGAGTCACCATGCAGCGAAAGAAAAATTTGTCTTTGACCGAGTGATGTCCGCATTGACCAAGTGATGCCTTTGATTTATTTCATGAATAGCATGCGTTTTTAGATGTTGTTGTTTGCCGCAAGTCTCAGTGCAAAAAAAAAAGAGGAAGGGGGCACTTTACAGCACAACATGCACTCCAATGTTTCCCTCACTTATTTGTTTGTGACCAGCCAGCACAACCTAGAATCGGCAATGGCAGCGCCTCGTGAAGCGACGTCGCTGGTGTACTCAACAGATGCCCTCAGACACCGTGCCCTGAAGGCAGGTTTGAGTTCGGATGAAGTAGAAGTCATAGTCAACAACAATGTCCGCTCTCTGGCACAACTTGCCTTTGCAATTACACCACCTGGTGTATCACCGTCAGATGAGTCCATCACCAATTTCTTTGCAGCACATGGTCCAATCAACATGGCCACTATCTCATCAGTGAAATTGTTGATTTTCGAAGCACACACCCTAGTGGTGGCAAACATTAAGAACGAGATTACAAAGAAAGACGATATCAATGTGCACAGTTCCCTTCCAGCTGCAGAGCGTGACAGAAGATTGCTGGAACAACAAGCCAGACTCCAAGGCCTCCGTTTTCGAGGTGATGAGGAATGTGCTTACGCAAATTACGATCTGGTTTTCTCGATGATGGAACGTGACAGCCTCATTTACCTTCCTCCAGAACGTTTTGTCACGAGGCGGTATGAGCTGCTACAGAAGAAACCTGGAAAGGAAATCGTTTTAGATGACAATGCCTTGACTGTCAAAGAAAAGTAAGGCGAGTATAGTTGCTCGACCAAGACAGAACTTGAGCTGTTCCAAGCCATGAGACGTCGGGCACTCACGTTTGATCTTGTTGGTTTGTGCAAGTTTGAGATTTTCAACGCATATCACAGCGAACTACTCCAGCATTTGCAAGAAGAGCCACCTCCGGGGTATCACCATACATCCCTGATCCAGATTCTTCGTGCGGATCGTGCTGCTTTCTTGCTCATGGCCGAACAAGTTACCTCACTGAAAAGGTCGCCAGCTGGAGAATTGCCGTTGGAAAAACTCTTGCCAACGGTTTTGTCCAAACCAACAGTGAGCTTCCATCTGCTGCCACTGGCAGCAAACGCCCCTGTCAAACCTGCTGCTCCAAAAGCCGGGGGGAACAAGCGCAAGTTGGAAGAATCTGCACCACCAACCAGTACTGCAGCCCCGAAAGCCGCAGCAACCAAGGGCAAAGGCAAAGGAAAGAACAAAAGCAAGAAGCGGGGACGTGGGCCCAACGTGCCCAAAGAACTCATCGGGAAGTCCCTTGAAGGACCATCAGGTCAGCGCCTCTGCTGGCCTTTCAACATGACTACCGGATGCCGAGACGCTGCACCCGGAGGCCACTGTGAGCGCGGCATGCACTTGTGTGCAGAACCGGGGTGCCATAAACCCCACAGCTTGCAGCAGCATTCGTGACAAAAACCATCACCGCACGAGCCTTGCACACCTGCCTTTTCTCCTGTACAGCACAGATGTGCCGGCAAAGATGCAAAAAGCCTCTTTTGTGTGGAAATTTTTGCAGGTACTGCTCGCCTCACAGCAGTTTTGAGACAGCTAGGCATCCGAGACTCTTTTGGGATTGACCATAAGATCCACTCCAAAGTAAGTGGACCAGTAATCTCTTTGGACTTGACCGATCCTGCTTCGTTTCAATACGTTTTGTCATTAATTAGAAATCCAAATTGCATCTATGTTTATAAGATTCTTACTGCTACAGTCTGAGACCATCAAAAATTATTATTTTTTCATTTTTTTTCATTTCCATTTTCATTTTCATTTTCATTATCATTTTCATTATCATTTTTTTTCATTTTTTTTTCATTTTTGCTCGTCACCTTTTGCCATCAAACTTCATTTTTTTTTCATTTCCAACTTCATTTTTTTTTCATTTTCAACTTCATTTTTTTTCATTTTCAACTTCATTTTTCATTTCAATCTTCGTTTTTTTCACTTGGAACCTGATTTGCTCATGTTGGGCAATTATTTTTTGCAGATTTGGAAGCAGTGTCCAATGATTTGGAAGCAGTTTGTGTCACATGATTTGGGAGCAGTTCCGTGCAATTTTGGGAGAAGTTTGACATAGACACTAGCCAGCCAGCTTGAGTCCTTGATAAATCTCAGAAACAGGGCCGGTGGCAGCCTGCCAATACCAAATCGTAACGGGCTGTGATTCTCACCGGTCAATTACCAGTGGGAGGTAGATTTCAAATGGTGATGATCGACTGAAATCAGATATGCCCTACTGGGAAAAAGGCTTAATTACAACTGG